ATATATACATCTTGATACTCCATATGTGGCTGTTGTTTTTTTGTGTTTTAGCGGGTAGCTTCATTCATCCAGTGTCTGTTCAAAATAGTCATTACGTGAAATAGTGTGTTTTGTTGATGGGATGGCATTAAAAAAGCTGCAGAGAAACACTCAGGACTGTTTCACAAGATGATCCAACTTGAAAATTTTCTTTCAGAGGACACAAGCAGAGAGAAGTGCTTATTCTATTTGCTAGCTTATGAGCTGGAAAGCTAAAAGCAAATGAGTTTTGCTCACATCACAGGTCATCTAAAATTGGAAATTCCCTCTGTTTTTGCATCGCTTCATGCAGTAACACCATTAGATGTCAGATGAAAAGCTCTTTGTGCTGTTTGATAAACATTCTGTACTAATCAACTACTTGCTGTGTTAAAAGTCTCCTGGTTTTGTGTTGTTTTCACACTCACTTCACTGCTTTGCTCTAGGAATAACTATTTTTCTCACTCCTCTCAACATGCAGTCAAGTATTTCCATGCAGGAAACGACTAGCCATTTCTGTCCCCTTTGCTCTGACAGAAGTATTATTAGTTGTAGACGAAGTGGTTGCTGGAACAGCTGCAATATGTGACAGTAAAAAGGTGCTGCAAATACTGACAGGTCTCCGACAGGACACAGACTTTTGCTGAAGCTGCAGTTCAGAGCCAATTACTGAACACTGACATTGTCAGTCTTCTCCTAACTGCTGGTCCTTGGTTTGTGTATGTGAGGCAAACAGATGTATATCTATGTGGAGTAGCTTCCTTAAAAAAACAAAATTATAACAGCTTTGGAGCTTTCTATGTAAAAAATTTAATCTCGTTGGATATCAGATTTTTTCATTCTAGATCCTATTATTGTTGCAGATATTTTGTAGAGAATATTAGTAGATAAACATCATAAAGATGAAGGGATGTATCAGACAAGTCGGGGGTAGATCTGTAGGGTATTTTAAAACTGAGTTAGTTCATTAAAAATATAGAAAACTTTGAACATCTTAAAAAGTTCTGTTTAAACTCATCAATGGAGATGGAGAAAGTATTGCACAACTGAAATAAACTGTCACATGGACTAAACTAAAGCCAAGCAAAGATGGGAGAGGATTAAATAGTGAAGCTAGCAGGAAGAAAGTGTTTTCCATAAATCACTATGCCGTATTTTCATTAAGATGGTGGAGCTGTCATTTTTTTTCTTGGCCGCTCTGCAACATCCTCTGAGGCCAACTAAATGGATTTAACCTAACTGACAAGTTATTGAGTACAGGTGAAATATTAGCTGCTTTTAGCAGGACTTTTCTTTTTTATTCAAAATCTTTGTCCTTTCTGAAAGATAAGTTTTGCAGCTTGTTTTAATATCACATGTCTGTTTAATACAGACCACATCTCATAGTTCAGGTTTCCTTGTGACCACAGTAACCTTGATTTTACTTCTCAGGTCCTTAATCAAATCTAGTGTTTCAATGT